TGATTTGATTTGAAAAAATCAAATCAAATTCAAATTGCTTAAATATTTGATTTGATTTGATTTTGAGGAACCCTAGTAATAACTATTGTTGCAGCTTCAGTTTTACTAAGAAAACTTAATAATAACCACTATCGCGGCTTCAGTTTTACTAAAAAAACTTAGTAATAACTGCTATTACAGCTTCACTTTTACTAAGAAGACTTAGTAATCAGTATTGCAGCTTTGGTTTTACTAAAAAGACTTTAATAACCATCATTGTGACTTTAGTTTTAATAAGAAGACTTAGTAATAATTGCTATTGCAAATTCAGTTTTACTAAGAAAACTTAGTAATAACTGCTATTTCAACTTCGTAATCATTTTATTAGCAAAAAAATGTTACTTTTTTATTATATTTCTTAGTAAAAAGCTGCAAAGGCATTTTTTACTATATTTTTTTAGTAAAATAGCATTTCTGAAGCTGCAGAGTCATTTTTTACTCTGTTTTTAATAAGATAACGTCTCTGAAGCAGCAAAAGAATTTGGAAACGTTTTCAATAAAATCAAGTCATGAGACATAGTAAATTATATGATCTGTAATATGATTTTACTGGAAATGCTTCAATTTATTACTATATTTTCTTAGTAAAATAATATTTTTAAAATTATGAAAATGTTTTTTACTATTTTTTTTTTAGTAAAAAAGACATTTCTGAAGCTGTGATTTTGCTTTTTACTATAGTTTTTTTAGTAAAAAAAGCATTTTTAAAGCTATAGAGACATTTTTGCTATAGTTTTCTTAGTAAAAAAAAGGCATTTCTAAAGCCACAGAGGTGTTTTTTACTATAGTTTTTAGTAAGAGCTACTTTTGAAGCTTTGGAGATGATTTTACTATTAATTTGAATCAAATCAAATATTTGAATACTTGATTTGAATTTGATCAAATCAAATCAAATATTAATTTGAATTTGATCAAATAAATCATTTTTTAATTTAAATTTGATCAAATCAAATCAAATATAAATATGAAATTGTTTTTGATTTGATTTTATTCAAATATTAAATCGAATTACAGAATCCTATTAAATAATATTACTTTAAAATTGCTATTCTTAAGATATTTATTATTGAAATCTGATTGGCTTATTATTTTATATCGATATTGATCAGTATAATATAATAATATTGTTACATATATACTGATATTTTTTTTCTAAACAGCTATATCATTACATAGAGGTTTAACTGAAATATTATTTTTTTAAGGTATATTTATAATTATTAAGTTAATATTATTTTATTAATACTTTAATTAGAAATTATTTTTAATTATAAATTTTATTTAAAGTTGAACTAATATTTGTTAATATCTTTTTATATAAAATATATTTGTATTTATCTTTATATCTTTTCTTTAATTTATTAATTTTTTTTATTAAACCATATTTATTAAATAATAATTTATTAAAGTAGAAATAAAATCTAAAAATTTAATAAATCTTTTATAAAGTAAAAGGCAAAAATAAAAACCATATTAATTTATTTTATAAATATTTAATTTTAATAAATTTAAAAAATTTCTTATTTTATTCTTGTTATAATTTTAATTTTATATTTATATATATAGATTTTACCTTTTTATTCTATTAATTAATTAATTTAAATCAAATATTTAAATTATATATATTATTATTATAAAATAAACTAATCAAATTCTAATAATATAAATCTTTTTATTAATTTTCTAACTTATATAAATTTATACTTAAAACATTTTTTAATAAAGATTATTAACCCTTTTAAATTTTATTTAAGGTGTTTAAGGATTTGGTTAAATATCTAAACCTTTAGTTTTGCCAATTTTTTACTAAGGGTTTTAATATAGTTTTGCCATTTTTATAAGCTTTAATACCTTTTTCTGGAATTCGCCTTTACCATTTAGATGATTGGCTAAACATCTAGCAATCTTAATCTTTTTTATAATTGATATTTAGATTACTTGTTAAATTCTTAGCAATTTTATTTGTAAATAAATTATTAGCTTTATTAATATTAAACTTGGTGGTACAATCAATGCACAAACAATACAATAACAATTTTTTCTGGATTGAACAAAATAATACTTCAATTAGAACTTTTCTATCAAAACTTATTTGTCGAGACTTTTACTGCCGATTTCAACTATACTGCTCAAGGAAAAAGAACACGATCTTGCTATGGGACAAAGTGATCTTGATAGGTTAGAAAGTGTATTTTTTTTTTTTGAATTGCTAAACTTCATTTAAATAATCCGATCAGAATTTCTTATTTATTAGGCAAATCGAAAAATTAAGAAACTGTGAACTCATCTCAGAACTTGAAGTCAGAGAACTTTGTCGAAAAGCAAAAGAAGTTCTAATAGAAGAAAGTAACGTACAACGAGTTGATGCACCTGTTACAGTATGTTGAAATCGGTGGTCACCTTACGATTATTCCTCATTTAACAGTTTTTAATTAATTGTTTTAGATATGTGGCGATATACATGGACAGTTTTTTGACTTAAAGGAATTGTTTAAAGTTGGAGGAAATTGTCCAGATACAAATTATCTTTTCTTGGGTAAATATATATAATATATATATATTTATATTTAATTGCACTTGATATTTGAACCATTGATGTTAATTTCTATTATTTGGTGGTTTAGGTGATTTTGTAGATCGTGGTTTTTACAGTGTAGAGACATTTCTATTACTTCTAGCACTTAAGGTTTGTGGAGTTATTTTCTTAAAAATTTATTCAAATCTTATGCTAAGATAGAGCATTTTTTTGGAACTAGGTGAGATATCCAGATAGAATTACATTGATACGTGGTAATCATGAATCACGACAGATCACTCAAGTATACGGATTTTATGATGAATGTCTTCGAAAATATGGCTCAATCAATGTATGGCGGCATTGCTGTGAGATTTTCGATTACATGAGTTTATCAGCAATTATTGAAGATAAGATATTTTGTGTACATGGTGGTTTATCACCATCCATCACCGCAGTGGATCAGGTCATTAAATCTAATATCGTTTTAAAAAAATAAAATAGGATAGAATAGTAGATATTGATAAATTCTTTTTTTCAAATTATAGATTCGCATGATTGACAGGAAGCAGGAAGTTCCACATGATGGAGCAATGTGTGACCTGCTTTGGTCTGATCCAGATGGTAATAAGATTAAACTATAATTTTTTTATTATGTAAATTGTATATACTGAATTTATTTATAAATTCAGAAATTGAAGGTTGGGGTTTTAGTCCTCGAGGAGCAGGTTATTTATTTGGTGGTGATGTTGTTAATGTGGTAAGGATATCTCATAATATACAATCTAAATATTAAATTATCATTTTACTTACTCCCATCGTTTACAGTTTTTGCAAACTAACAATTTAGAATTAATTGCACGTGCCCATCAATTAGTAATGGAGGGTTATAAATTGATGTTTAATGATACAATAGTTACTGTATGGTCCGCGCCAAATTATTGTTATAGGTTAGTTATTTAGGTTATATAAAAAATTTGTCACTTATTTTATTTACTATATATAAATATAAATAGGTGTGGGAATGTAGCAGCGATTCTCGAGTTAGATGATCAATTAAATAAAAATTATAAAATATTCGAGGCAGCAGCGCAGGTATGTTATTTTATTTGTAATATAATTTTAGGGATTTGGCATATTTTTTAAATTTTAAATTTTAAAATTTTTATTAGGAAATTCGCGGTGCACCAACAAAAAGGACAGTACCTGATTATTTTTTGTGATGATTACATTATATTCTCATTTGCAATTACCATCAAAGGATCAGATAATTGTTTGCTCAAATATTTTATCGGCAAACAAATTATTAATACAGTTAACTCTGCCTTATATCATTGGAGAAGGACTGTAAAGTTGAAAGATCCGAGGATGTCATTACTCATATTATGCATTATTATCTAAATTAACAGAGTCACATATTTATATCACGTTCGATACTGAGTATCGAACCTTAGGTAAAGTATTATAATTAACTAATAGAAATATAGCCCGTTATTTATTTATTAAATGCGATTGCAAAGAGTCTTTTTCGAGCTAATATTTTAACCTTTTTGTGGAAGGGAGTATTAGGTAAAGCATTTTTTATTTATTTATTTTTTTTTTTATTAGTTTATTATTATTTTTTATTTTATTTTATTTTTTTAATAAATATATATATATATAGCTATATACATAATTTAATTTGCTTCTGTGTTATATTTTTACTATATTAATACTTATAATCACATTGAGTTTAATTAGACTAAAAATAGATTGCTTATGTCAAACAATAAGGTAATAATGAGAATTATTATTATTATTATTATATTTAATATAATTAAAAATCAACATTAAATTTACTAATATTTATAATATTTTAATAAAGGAATTAAAAAGGACAATCAATAACGAAATGTTAAAAAATTATAAGAATTATGATTTTATTAAATTTGTTGTATAGTCAAAGTGATTCAGAAATTAAACATTTTATCCAACAAATTATTTCTTCATACTTTTAATATTATTTATTATTATGTTTTAAAGAAATAAATTATTATATATTACACATAATAATTATTATAAGATCACAAGATAATATATTTAAATAAATTATTCTATATAATGCAAATAAAAAAAAAAAATTTGCTATAACAAAATATCTTAATGAGCCAAACAAAAGAAATTGCAAAATGATCTAAATAATAATTTAATAATGAAATGCAACAAAAAGTCCCAATCACATTAAACCCTATTAATGAATATATATATATATATATTATTATTATTTATGTCTCGATAAAAACACATTAAATATTAACAATTCTGATTGAATCACTTACCATGCATGTGTCATATATTTTTGAACCGCTATCAATGCTCTATAACGAACTTCTGTATCATCATGTGTCATGAGTTCCATTATTCTTTGTTTAGCACCAATTTCTTGTAAAAACCTGTATACATTTCAGTAGATAAAAAAGTTAAAAAAACTTATACAATAATTCAAAAAAAAAAAAACAACCATACTTTTTCCCGCTAGGATAATATTTTACATATTGTCCCAAATCATGTGCAGCGATTGCAAGAACTACATTATCATTAGACTGACTAAGCATTCTTGCCAAAATTCTAAAATTTAGTGGAAATAATAAGTTGATGCTTATTATTGATAAATTTCAAATATTATAATTGTTTCAAATACCTTAACAATTCATAATCTTTCTCATTTAACTTTGTAACATTTTGTTTCCAAAATTGATCGGATTCGTGTGGTGGCGACCATTGAAGCATACCAGAAGAAATTTCTGATGCATATTCATCAAAGGTTCTAAAAACATAATTTTTTCATTAAGTCAACTAATTAATTTTTGTTGTATTTTCTTTCTATTGAACTTACGACAAACTATGGAAATTTTCTTGAAGTTGATCTTTCAAAAATTCAATGTCTTCAACAATCTCATTATCAGACCATTTTCGACTCGATAAATTCTCGCAAAAATTTAATAATCTTGCAACTAACATTGCAGGTAAATTGGCTTCTGGAGCTTTATCAACCAAATTCTTTAAAGTTAAGAGATTTTGTTAAAACTTTATAAGAACAGAAAAAAAAGGAATACACATTTTACCAACTTTAAATGTTCCAATAATAACACGAATTATCTTTTCTTTAATGGCACCTTTAGCAATATTGATCAATGTAGGAATTAAATCGTATTTTCTATATAAATTAGAGAGATATATAAATGATATTAAAAGTTACGGATAATTAATTTAATTAAGATTCAACTTTACTTGTTAAATTCCAATGATACTGCTCGTTCAAACGTCAACAGCCAGAAACAAAAAATAATTTGATATTGCATTTGAGGTGTGGGATTTCTGACCTTAAGGAGATTAACCAACCTGAATTGAAAATGCTAATTAGTATTATCGCGTAGATCAACATATTGAATAATATATAGATAATTAATTACGCGTCTATAGCTTGTGGAGCTTCCCAAAGCTTCAAACGATAACCAGGAACTCTCAAAGTTGAATCTAGTATCTGAACCGCAAGGTCGCATACATTAGGGTTATTACTCTTAAGTTTCAAAGTGATCCAGCGATAAAATTCTTCAAGATCAAAAGGAAGAGGTTTTTGAGCTGAGCTAATCAAATAGAAAATTATACAATCAACTAACTCTCAATTAAATTATTCGTAAATTAATATTAAAATTAAAAAATTTCTTACACAATTAATAAGGTAAGGATTTTGGCAGACATTAAATTTACGAATTCGTCTTCAATATTTAACAATCTATAAACGACACCAAATTAATATAAAACTTTTAATAAAATTTCAGATCAAAAGATTTTGCTTACTTTAGAAGGATACGAAAAGGAAGTTCAGCATCCTTTTCAGAAACTTTATGGAAATATTGGACACGTTGTTCTTCATCTGAGTTTATTTATTAAAATTAATTAATAAAACTTAATATCTAACCAAAAAAAAAAAATTGTTATAAATCTAACCTGATAACATCTCACTAACTAAAACCAATATATATTGAACTGTATCAACTCGATTTAATTTTTCCAAGAGATTTGTGTATAAATCTGCATACTTTTCTGCATCCTATTAACAAGAAGAATATTAGGATATTCAGTAATACAAAGTGCCTTGAAGCATTGAAAAAATATTACCTTTTGCATCACCACTTTTAATTGTTCAAGACTTTGTTTATCAACTTTTTTCAAAAGATCAGCTTCTTCTTGGGTTATAAGAGTTGCTTTTTGATAGCCCTAAAATAATAGAGTAGAAAAGATGTCAGATTTGAAATTAAAAATAATAAAATTCAAACATACTTACATCCCAAGGGATTGGACGTGAGCGTATATTACTTGTAAGCTCGTCCAAATATGGATTTGAAACGAATACTAAAGGAACATCAGGAACTGTCTCTTCTGTAGTTTCATAGGTGGTCATTGTGAAAGATAACTTGGTTGTGATAGAGGTAAAGTATATTTATATATTTTTTTAACATTATTTGGCGCAATCTTGAGATTTTTGATTTAAAAGATGAAGATGATTACACTAGAGATCAAGAGATGAATAGATAATCCAAGCTGATAGATTACATAAATTTGGCCCGAATTATAATATTAATCTAATTAATTTAATTAGTGGATTGTTACATGTAAAACATCACCTATTTTTTACTCGTTTAAATAAAAGATGATCTAAAGTTGTTAAAATTTTTTTTATTTTTCAATAAAACCATTATGTTACCTATAATAACAATAAAAAAATACAAAAAAACAAACTTAAATCGAAATTTAATAATTTTTTTTAATAATATTGTTAATGAAAAGTATTAAAAATAATTATGAATTTACTGATTTAAATATATTTAAAAATGATAATGATAATAAAAGTTCTAAATCAATTGGTTGAGAGATTGAAATCCCATTCATTTTGAATAAAAGATTTTATAAACCAAAAAATTAATAATAAGAATAAAAATAATAAAAATATTATATAGATAAATTAGAGTAGGATAAAATTGGATTCTAGAACAAAATTCAAAATAGATATATTTATAATAGGATGCTCTTTTAAGCTTACCTATCATCAATTCAGATATACAAATTTTTATGGAATCTTTTTTTGAACTCATAAGCTTAGGAAACATGTCATAGAATTCAAGACATTAGCCTATATTTGGCTTAATTTCTACTATTTAAATATACTAATATCAATTTAATATGAAATTACCTTACCAGATACCAAGAATAAAACCATTTATTATAATTAGCAAAATCAGCTTGTTTAATTTTTGGTATGACTCTTTAAATGTAAGCAAGAAAGTTCAAAGATCATAATTTTTATTTTAGTATACTGAAATTTTTTGTTATACAGAAATCTATTCTAGAGCTAATTCATTTATACAAATTTATGATAAAAAAGTTTTACCAAAAAAATTATATTTTTCAAAATCTTACCAAAAATTTGATTAAGCAATATAAGTCAAAAAGTTTTATTAAAAATCTTACCAAAAATTATTAACTAAACTAAATTTTTAAGACTTTATCTTTCAATCTATATAGTATTACATCACATAATAGCCTTAAATTTATAATAAATACCACTAAAAAATAATCAGTAAGCTTATAATATTCTTTATATAAGATATGCTGCTTATATTTCTAATGAAAATGATATCAGTAATAGGAAAATAAGATTTTTGATACATTTCATCCAAATGATTCCAGAAGATTATCCTAGGTATCAAAAAAAGAAATATATAGCGTAAACTCACTATAATTATACTTATAATCATAAGAAAATAAGTTTTCTTTCTTGATTATTATTCGTTCTATAAACATTTGCTTCTTAATTATAATGATAAAATTAAATTTTATTACAAATAAGTCTGAATCCTATTTAGTTTTTATTCTGAATATCAAAAATTTTCGTATATAATATAGCCAAATTTAAGAAGCATTCATGTTTACTATAGGTGAAGTGAAGCAGAGCATCTGTAAGTAAGATATAAAAACAAATAATGTCTCATAGAGTTACAGAGCAAAGTAGAGCATCTATAAGTAAGATATGAAAACAAATAATTTACAGAGTTGTGAAACGAAGTGAAGTATCTATAAGTAAGATATAAAAATAAATAGATTACAGAGTTGCAGAATGAAGCGAAACATCTGTAAGTAAAATATGAAAACAAATAATATTTATAGAGCTGTGAAGTAAAATAAAAAATGTAAAAAAATATATGCATATATAAACTATCTTTAATATCTTTTCAGAACCTCTAATTTTTCGCTCATAGTTAAAGTATAATACTGGTCACCTGAATTTTTGCAAGCTTATGCTAATGATAAAATTCTTAAAATAATACTTACTCGCATATTTTCTACAAATACTATAAATAGAAAAAGTTAATTTTCTATATTAAATGTAAGAAATTCGTTTAGGAGAATTGCAGTAAACTTTACACTCTTCTAAATGATAGCATTCCTCATTGCAAACTGTATCACTTTGTAGGATATAGGGAATAATGATAAAATTCTGCTATAGTTTCATTTAAATAAATGTTTAATTTTAATTATCCAAATAAAATAATTTTTATTTTAAATTTTTTTCTAATCATATATAACCTTTAGAAAAAATAAGCAGAATACTAGATAATATTATCAGTATATTAGGACAATTATTTAAAAACCTTTTACCAAGTGGATAAACCCTTTATATTATCTGAGTTATCTGAATATTCTGAATCACAGAACTAGAAGAAGAGTTGGAGAAAGAGAAAAACGATTATAAGACTGCTTTAACCTATCAAAATACTGACACAAGATGGTAATCATCTATCTAAAGATTTCTATTCTAGAAAAAGTAAGGCTTTTATATTAAGTTTTATGATAGATCTATATAATGGATTAGCTCTGAAAATGATTTTCGTACTTTATCATAAGACTGATTTTTAATAAAAGTCAATCTAAATAAAACACTCTAAGAAGCTCATATTTGATATAATGATAAAGTCAATACAATTTTATGACAAAGTGATAGTTAAATAGATTTAGGAAAAACTGAAGTATATGCTATAATAAGTTTGCATTTCTTTTAAGATATTGCTAGAGGTTCTAGAAAAGCTAAAGATTTATTACATGAAGAGGATTATTGAATAAGATCATCACACATAGAAGCTTTAATATAAGCTAAGCTATATTACTAGTCAAAATAATCCATTTTATCACTTTTTTAAAGTATTGAATATTGACCAAAATATGGAAGGCAGTCAGTAGAAAAGAGAAAAATCCAAAAATTTTGTTAATTTTAATTATTAAGCTAATTTTGTGTATATGACTGAGATCAGCTAAGTGGTCTAATAATATAAATTTTGACTAAAATTTGTATTTTCTCTTTTCTACTGACCGCCTCCCATATAGTCTAATTTCTGCTAATCATACTAAAACAATCAGCATTTTTAGTTATAACTGATGTTATCTAATTCAGATGCTACACAAATTAATATTCGACATTAATGATTGATAGTTGTTTGATATATTTGATACAATCAGCTTAAATTCATTCAATTAATGATATAAATAAAAATCAACTAACTTAATAAAAATCAGTAATATTTTGGCTATAAGTAATCAAAAATTAGTAAAATAAAATTTCTGATATTTAAATGATTTTATTAATATCTATTTTCAGTTCTGATTGTGAAAAAAATCAGTATCTGCTGGAGTGTTTTGATCTATAAATGCCTAGTCAGAAGCGTTTCGAGGGTGATGAATCAGTATTGTAAAATGATCATTATAAATTTGAGTTCTTGTCAATTATGCAGTTTGCAGCAAGAACGCATGATTAAGGATGGTACTACAATTGTTTTTTCAAATCTGCAATATTGCGGATTTTTGAATTGAATTACGCATAGTAATCCGCAATTCCGCAATTCA